TTATAATTGTTTGGTGAACTCCTGTCTCTTGTGCCTTCCCCTTTCTACCAGCAAACTCCTATTCATCCTTCAAGACCCAGTGACTTCCCCGGAGCCATCGGCAGCCAGCCTCTCCCCTCCCTTTTTGCAGAGCTTACTACACCCCTTTGCTCTGCCACTTACTATACGGGCTTAAGTCCCTGGATCTTCTTTCATCAGGGGCAGATGGTTGACACAGTGTGTGATACATGGTTGGCACTCTAGGAATGTTTGTCTTGACGTAGCGTATCTTTTTTTTTTTTTTTTTTTTGAGATGGAGTTTTGCTCTTGTTACCCAGGCTGGAGTGCAATGGCGCGATCTCGGCTCACTGCAACCTCTGCCTCCTGGGTTCAGGCAATTTTCCTGCCTCAGCCTCCTGAGTAGCTGGGATTACAGACGCATGCCACCATGCCCAGCTAATTTTCTGTATTGTTAGTAGAGACGGGGTTTCACCATGTTGACCAGGATGGTCTCGATCTCTTGACCTCATGATCCACCTCCTCGGCCTCCCAAAGTGCTGGGATTACAGGCGTGAGCCACCGTACCCGGCCAACATAAAGTATCTTTTTAACGCATTATTATGTAGTATTGGTGTGGTTTTCTTTTGCCTTGTGTTGTGTGGTTTCCTTAGCCACTCAGTCAACTCCTGGAAGGCAGGTTCAGTGTCACGGCCCCAGTTCTGTACCTCGTGTCCCCTAAGCCTGGTTCAGGGCTATGTGTACCTAGAAAAGTTTCAGTAAATCCTTCTTGAGTTCATTTAGTGTCTGCTTAAGGTTATGGAAACCTTGGCAGTTTGAGAAGCATCTTGACCTTCTTTTTCTCATTGTGGACCATCTGTATAATTTGTGGGGCTCACTCTAGGCATGTGCTGGGCTTTTAATAATTTCTGAACAAGCCCCCTTGTTTAGAAATTATTAGAAATTTCAAGGCCAGGGCCTGGCATGGTGGCTCATGCCTGTAATCCCAGCACGTTGGGAGGCCGAGGCGGGTGAATCACCTGAGGTCAGGAGTTTGAGACTAGCCTGGCCAACATGGTGAAAACCCATCTCTACTAAAAATACAAAACTTAACTGGGCATGGTGGTGGGTGCCTATAAGCCCAGCTACTCAGGAGGCTGAGGCAGGAGATCGCCTGAACCTGGGAGGCAGAGGTTGCAGTGAGCCGAAATCGTGCCATTGGATTCCAGATTGGGCAACAAGAGTGAAATGCAGTCTCAAAAACAAACAAACAAACAAACAAAAAACTAAAAAATTTTGGCCAGGTGCAGTGGCTCAGGCCTGTAATCCCAGCATTTTGAGAGGCTGAAGCAGGCGGATCACCTGAGGTCAGGAGTTCAAGACCAGCCTGACCAACATGACAAAACCCTGTCTCTACTAAAAATACAAAAAAAATAGTTGGGCATGGTGGCTGGCGCTAGTAATCCTAGCCACTCGGGAGGCTGAGCAGGAGAATCTCTGGAACCTGGGAGGTGGAGGTTGCAGTGAGCCAAGATTGCACCACTGCACTGCAGCCTGGGTGACAAGAGCGAGACTCTGTCTCAAAAACAAAAACAAAATTTTCAAAGCTGGGTGTGGTGGCTCATGCCTTTAATAGGAGGCTGAGGTGGGAGGATTGCTTGAGCCCAGGAGTTCAGGACCACCCCAGGCAACAAAATGAGAACCTGTCTCTACAAAAAAATAAAATAAAAATTAGATAGGCAGCCAGATGCAGTGGCTCACTCCTGTAATCCCAGCTCTTTGGGAGGCTGACCTGGGTGGATCATGAGGTCAAGACATTGAGACCAGCCTTGCCAACATGGTGAAACCCCGTCTCTACTAAAAATACAAAAATTAGCTGGCCGTGGTGGTGCATGCCTATAGTCCCAGCTATTCAGGAGGCTGAGGCAGGAGAACTCCTTGAACCCAGGAAGGGGAGATTGCAGTGAGCTGAGATTTGCACCACTGCACTCCAGCCTGGCAACAGAGCAAGACTCCATCTCTAAAAAAAAAAAATTTGGACAGGTCTGTGGGTGCGTGCCTGTGGTTTAGCCATGTAGAAGGCTGAGGTGGGTGGATTGCTTGAGCCAGGGAGTTCGAGGCTGCCATGAGCCATGATTGCATCACTGTACTCCAGCTGGGGCAACAGAGCGAGACCCTCTCTCTCAAAAGAAAAAAAAAAAGAATTTCAAGACAGAGCAGAACAGTAAACCAAGGGGTCCTCCTAAATTTAGGCCCTGTGTGACTGTCCAGGCCGCAGGCCCATGAAGCCAGCCCTAGTCTCACGTGACTCCAGTGAGGGAAGATGTGGTAGAGGTCACGATCTAGCTCCTTTATATAGGTGGTGAAATGAAGTGCACGGAAGAGCAGTCATTGGCCTCGGGTTGCACAGCCAATCAGTGACAGGGCAGAACTGAAAACAGAAGGCAGTTCTTGGAGCATGCTTACTGTCTTAGGTGGGCCCTGGGGCCCAGGGACTTTGAGCCTCAGTTTCTTCCTCTGTAATCTGGGAGTATTGACCTGACTATAAAAATGACAAATATAGTTGAATATTAAAAAGTCAGGAAACAATAGATGCTGGCGAGGCTTTGGAGAAATAGGAACACTTTTACATTGTTGGTAGCAGTGTAAATTAATTCAACCATTGTGGAAGACAGTGTGGCGATTCCTCAAGGATCTAGAACCAGAAATACCATTTGATCCAGCAATCCCATTACTGGATATATACCCAAAGGATTGTAAATCATTCTTCTATAAAGACACATGCACACATATGTTTGTTGTGGCACTGTTTACAGTAGCAAAGACTTGGAACCAACCCAAATGCCCATCAATGGTAAACTGGATAAAGAAAATGTGGCACATGTACACCATGGAGTACTATGCAGCCATCAAAAAAAATGAGATTGTGTCCTTTGCAGGGACATGGATGAAGCTAGAAGCCATTATTCTCAGCAAACTAACATAGGAACAGAAAACCAAACAGCACATTTTCTCACTTATAAGTGGGAGTTGAACAGTGAGAACATATGGACACAGGGAGGGGAACAGCACACACTGGGGCCTGTCACAGGGTTGGGAGCAAGGGGAGGGAGAGCATTAAGACAAATACCTGCCAGGCGCGGTGGCTCACGCCTGTAATCCTAACACCTTGGGAGGCTGAGGTGGGTGGATCACCTGAGGTCAGGAGTTCAAGACCAGCCTGGCCATCATGGTAAAACCCCATCTTAAAAGAAGAAAGAAAGAAAGAAAAAAAGACAAATACCTAATGCACACGGGGCTTAAAACCTAGATGACGGCTGATTGGTGCAGCAAACCACCATGGCACATGTATACCTGTGTCACAAACCTGCACATTCTGCACATGTATCCTGGAACTTAAAGTAAAAAAATAAAAATCGGTTAGCAAAAAATAAAATGACAATTAGAACAGCTGGCCGTGAATCCCTGGACAGTCCCTATCTTTTGACCCCTTCCCTTGAAGTCAGGAATACGTAAGGGTCTGAGCCCTGTAGACAGGAGTGATAATTGGCTATCGTGGCAGTAGAAGAAATTAAAGCCCTTCAGAAGTGGAGGAAGGCTGTCTTTTCATCTCTCTTTGAAAGAATGTGGGGACTTGGTTGGAAAGTTCCCCAGGGTTCCTTGGTATTTCGGTGCTTTGATATCTAGAGGAATAAAAGAGCAATTAATTGCTACAAATGGCCTGTTCCCGTAGGGTTAGTCTGATGGTGGAGGGGGTGGTAGTGGTGGGTGACAGCTTTTCTATTCCAGGGCCATTGCTGGTTAAAGGGACACACAGAACAGAGAGTCACAGGTTTACAGCAATGTCTGACTTTAGGGGAGGCTTTTGAAATCCCGCTTTCTCTGGTCTTCCTCAGCCCCTTGGGTTATAGAGCTGCTTTCTTTTCAGAATTCGTTGAAGACAGTGGGTTCTGAGCTGTCACTGGTCCCACACCACCGTTAGAACCAGTTTCTCAAAGTGTTGTCTGCCATCCTTTCCCCACACAGGGATGACAGCTGAGAGCACTGTGGTAGTAGAAGACTGGGTAGTAAAAGTGGGTGTAAAAGCACCCAGTTTTTACAGACATGTGGTTATCTACCACATAATATATGACCACAGGCCTGTGCCCTCACCATTCATTTGGATGGTTGGCATATGCCTTGGAGATTTGAGGCACTGAGTCTTGCACCCCAGCAGAGCAGGTGGCACAGCTGGAGCAGGTGGGCGAGGCTCCCACCACCCCTCGAAACGTCCTGCTTCTCCTGTGTCTCCACCCCCTTGGCAGTCCACACTCCTGTTCCATTAACCTGTGCAGGTGACCTGAACGATGAGCTTGTATGTGGGAGGCAGAAGAAAAGAAGGCAGTGTTCTTGGATTCCTGCCAGAGGTGAACTGGGGGCATGTAGACATGTGGCCAGGCTGTAGGTCTGCGAACAAGCTGCCACTGTGCTTTTCATGTGTTTCTGGCATGTGTCTGTGTTAACTGATGTTTAAGTGCACAACTGCAGGTGTTCACCAAGCACACAGATACATATACATGCACTGAGCACAGAGTCTGTGGGGTGCTGAGCTACCTGTGTCTTGTTTGTTGTTTCAGATTTGGTAGGTGGGGCGTCCTCTCATGCAGGTGTGGGACTTGGCCATCGGCTGTCCTGGAGTGATGCATTCTGGTCCACAGTGTCTCTGAACACAGCGTCTCAATTAGACTTGGTGACTAAGCCAAGGGAGCAGGGTGTGTGGTGTCGAGCGGACTGACCTGCTTTAGCCGGAAGTGCCAGGCCAGCCGAGCTGCCGTCAGCACCTTATTTATCCCAGAGGTGCAGGTGTGGGCTTCCTGGGCTTGCTAGACACACAGGTATTTCTGGACCGAGGCAGAGCCCGACTCCTCAAGCTTTCCACCAGCAGTTGTGCATCCTCAGCATGGGGTGTGTGCTCCAGGCCCAGCCCCAGCAGCTGCGTGGGCCCTCCCGACTCCTCCCATGACCCGTGTTCTGTGTCTCCCCAGGGCGGCACCTTCCTACTTCTCCCCGGCCACAGTCCTCCCCTCACAGTTGAGTACCTGTTTGCCTGAAGTTAATTTCCAGAAGCAGGTAAGGCCTCCAGGGGAAGGCCTCTATAATGTGGCCATACGGTCGCGTCGGGTGGGGGGTGAGGAGTGGTCTTAGATGCCAGGCGCCAGGGCTGATCATGAAGTTGGCTCAGCTGTTACCTTTCACCATGAGCCCTTCTGATGCTCTTTTCTCCAGATGTGTTGGTTCTTCTGGGGAATGTTTTGGTGCTGCTGGTTTCTTTCAGGCTAAGACATGTACAGATTCTGGATAATATTTCATAGAAGCTCTGGGAAGCACCAATTCTGTGGCATTGTATTTTTTTTTTTTTTTTTTTTTTGCAATTTAAACATCATGAAAATGTAAATTTTATCTTTTTAAATTTATCAGAATCTATCACAATGTGTTTTAAAATGGACAAAACAAAAGACGAGTACAGGGGCTGGAGGCAGCTCATGTGTCTGAAGGGCCTGCCTTGCCTGGCCTCACTTGAGCTTACTTGATATCTTCCTAGCAGGTGCAAGACCACCCTGGGTATAAGTGGATATTCTAACAGAGATAAATATGGATGTTCAACAGCATTAGCTTCCAGTTTAAAAATAAAAACGAGTGCAGGTGGCTGTGTTTGTATTCAGGGCCACTTGTGCCTGTCAAAGCAAGGCCAGCTTTCAAAGCTCTTTATCAGAATGGGTTGCATTTCCCGGACAGCGACCTGTACAGAGAGCCACAGCCGTCCAGCCTCCAACTGCCGTGTGTAACTTTCAGCAGTCTTGTTCTCCAGGTCCCTCTTGCACTGCCTCCTAATTCTTCTAAAGTGATCAACTACTTAAAAGCTGGAAACTACGTGATGGTCAAAATTAGGTCCCTGCAAAGGCTGGGCAGGAGTGTGGCAAGCGAGGGTACCTGCTACAGATGCCCTTGGGTAGCTCCCTGAGAATGTGGTGTGGCCTGTGAAGCCAAGGGCAGTTCTCCCGTTGCGTGGACCTTTCACAGTGGTTGGGTGCCACTTCCTCACCATGCTTTCCTGGCCAGCCAGGCTTTCTTCAACAGAGAGGTGGCTCAGAACCAACAGGAGAGAGAGAGAGAGAAAGAGAAAGAGAGAAAGAAACAGGATTGTGTCTCCGGGTCTAATTTGAAAGTATGTACCTTAACGTCTCTTCATTGAATTTGCCCCAATCAGATGTCATTTTCTGGGATGGCACTCACTTTTTGCGGAATGTGTGGTTGCCTACTGCATAAAATATAACCACAGACCTGCCCCCTCAGGATTCATTTAAATAGTTAATAGTTGCCTGTTGTTTCTTTTCTGTTTTGTTGTTTTTGAGACCAGAGTCTCACTCTGTTGCTCAGGCTGGAGTGCAAGGCGCAATCTTGCCTCACAGCAACTGTGACCTCCTAAATTCAAGTGATTCTGCTGCCTCAGGCACCCGAGTAGCTGGGATTACAGGTACCCGCCACCATACCCGGCTAATTTTTTGTATTTGTAGTAGAGACGGAGTTTCAGCATGTCGGCCAGGCTGGTCTCAAACTCCTAGCCTCAGATGATCTGCCTGCCTCAGCCTCCCAAAGTGCTGGGATTACAGGCATGAGCCACTGTGCCCGGCCTGTTTCTTTTCATTTTCCTTTTTTTTTGGCTCGCCTCTGACTTGGGCAGCTAACAGAAATTTTCTTAGGATTTTGAGTGGAAGTGCTGCCCCATTTTAGACACTGGAATGTTTATGGGCCTAGCCAAGAGACCATAATTGAGAACCATCATTGCTTTTGGTTCTCACGTTCAAGGACTGGATGAATAATTAATGTGTCTAATTTATTTACAGTTTTAGTTTATGTAATTTAAACATATTTTAATGGAGACCAGTTTTTCATCCCTACAGGGGAAAATAAGATTTCTCAAGGGAAGTGAATCTGATGCCTGTCAGAATTATGATAAAAGTTTAATAGCGTATTTGCTTGTATAGGCAACAAAGACATACTTTAATATACTTGTAGCACACCATGACTGAAATGTCTGTATTGTTTGGGTTGATTATGATTTATTCTCTCCAATTACGAGTTTGCTCCTCATTAACGCCCTTGCTGCAGATTAGGAGAGAATTATGTAAGCCAGTCATGGTGTTTCCGTTTGGGTTGAAATGGGAAGGGCAGGAACGTGTGCTCCTGACCGCATTTCTGCTCCAGATCCAGCCCTGAGTGTGACCTCTTGTTAGGCAGCAGGACTCAGTCAGCTCGTACTAGGTCTGGAAGAATTCTTGATGACCAGACTTTTAGAAACGACAAGTCAGGGGTCTTCCCTGAAGTGAGAACTGTCTCTTCCAGGGAAGTGAGTTGAAGCAGGAGTAGCCTGGCTCCAAAGACCCGTGCAGGTGCCGGTGACACTGCAGGCCCACAGCTGGGCAGCCCCAGCCCCGGGAATCCCAGTGTTAGGCATTCCCAGGACAGTAAGGCTGCACTAGCCAGGAAGACAGGGCGGCACCTATCAGTGCGAGCTGTTCATAGAAGGCTTGTTGGACAGGGCAGCATTCTGTAAAGCTGGGCCCATGAAGGCAGTTTGTGATGGAAGCAGTCTGTGATGCAGAACCGACGCTCCTCTGGGAAGCACCTACTGTGTACCCAGACCACCGGGTCCTGAGAGAATGCAGCAGCAAAAACCAGACATTCATAGATCCTTGCCAGGGCAGAGCTGGCTCTCTGAATGAATAAATAGATCTTGCCTGGGACCCGGGGCTGCAGTGTGGTTTGTGATAGTAGGATTGAAATAGGGAGAGCCAGAGCAGGAGTGATCTGCTTCCCACATTGGCTAAGGACTGGTTGGCTTGAACTGGGTGATCTGGAGGCCTGGGAGAGCCGGCTGTGGGTGGGAAGGAAGCAAAGCTCGTGCTTTTGTGTGTGGTGACACCTAATGGCCAGTTCCTTGTATTTCATCCTGTCTCTCACCAAGAGAGAGCAAATGAGAACTAGCCAGATAGAATTGGAAGATTTTTACTCCTGGAAGCCATAACTCCCAGCTCAAAGAGTTTACGGAGCATTTCAGATGTTCGTTGGAGAACACAATAGCCCAAGGCACACTACAAAGTGAGAGTCCTTTGGAAAAGCTAAATTTGGTTATGGGAGACAGGGTTAGGTACTTTGGTCTCTTAACACAATGACCTTTGGCCCTAGATGGATCTGGATATTGCTGACTGGGAGAAGCTTAGACACCACTGGCTGTCTCACTATTCCATTTAGCCAATCAGGCAGTATTTATTAAGTGCCTGCCAAGTGCTAGGCTCCTGGAGGAACAGCAGAGGGGGCCCTGGCCTTGCAGTAGGCAGGGGAGAGAGACAGTAAGCAAGTTCTCCACCAGGCACTTCCAGAGAATCAGGACAGGTGGGCATGGTGGCTCATGCCTATTAATTCCAATATTTTGAGAGGCTGAGGCAGGAGGATTGCTTGAGGCTGGGAGTTCGAGATCAGCCTGGCTACGCAACATAGCAAGACCTCTACAAATTTTTTTTTTTTTTTTTTTGAGACGGAGTTTTGCTCTTGCTACCCAGGCTGGAGTGCAATGGCGCGATCTTGGCTCACTGCAACCTCCGCCTCCTGGGTTCAGGCAATTCTCCTGCCTCAGCCTCCTGAGTAGCTGGGATTACAGGCACATGCCACCATGCCCAGCTAATTTTTTGTATTTTTAGTAGAGACGGGGTTTCACCATGTTGACCAGGATGGTCTCGATCTCTTGACCTCATGATCCACCCGCCTCGGCCTCCCAAAGTGCTGAGATTACAGGCTTGAGCCACCGCGCCCGGCCAACAAAAAATTTTTTAAAGTGGCAGAGTGATGTGGCATGCTTCTGTGGTCCCAGCTACTTAGGAGGCTGAGACAGGAGGATTGCTTGTGCTCAGGAGTTCAAGGCTACAATGAGTTCTGATCACACCACTGTACTCCTGTGTACCAGAGCAACTGTCAAGGAAGGCTTCCCTAGGAGGACGTCTTGACGCCGAGACAAGGGTGGAAAGAACCCAGTTCCAGGCTGAGGGGACACCCAGTACAAAGGCAGCCAGTAGGGAAGAGCTTCTCAGCATGTTCCAGAATGGACCAGGGCCAGGAATGCAGAGCAATGGGGAGAGGTAGGAGAGGCAGGCTGGAGAGGGAGGCAGGGCTGATGGCGGAGGCCTCGAAGGGTCCTGGCAAAGATTGCGAAATGCGTTCTCAGGTAGGTTTAAGCAGTGATGTCATCTGTTTTGGGGAGGCTGAGGTGAGAGGATCACTTGATCCCAGGAGTTTGAGACCAGTCTGGGCAATATAGCAAGTCTCTAAAAAGAATTTTAAAACATTAGCCAAGTGTGGTGATGTATACCTGTGGTCCTAGCTACTCAGGAGGCTGAGTTGGGAGGATCACTGAAGCCCAACAGGTTGAGGCTGCAGTGAGCCAAGATCATGCCACTGCAGGCTGGGCGACAGAGGGAGACTCTGTCTAAAAAACAAAAAACAAAAAACCATAAGATTATTCTGGCAAAGGAAGTAGGGGCATCATGAGGAGGTCACGTGGTAACTTAGATCCAGGTGGCCATCAGGGAAAAGGTGGAGACTACATCATCATCCAGACCCAGGGATGCAAGGTTCACCCCACAAGGCTGGAGTCCAGCCCCAGACTGGCAGTGCTGTACGTCAAGTGAAGTAGAAGGAAGTGAGAATAGGTCAATGTAAGGAGTGATGCCCCAGGACAGAGCGTCCCTGCTCAGCTGTGCAGGAAGTTATGGCCTTCCCTGTGCTGGGGTGTACCCTGGGTCTGGGGGTCCCTGGGGGTCCCTCTCATCAGAGACCATTCCTGAGGCAGGTTACTCCTCTTTCCCAGCTCGCAGTTGTCTCTTAGGCCCTTTTCTGAGCCCAGGAGGCAGTGGAAGGGAAGCAGGCATCTGAGTAAGAAAGTCTGGGCTGTAAGGGGTTAGCAGAAGTTGCTGGAAAGAGACCTGTGCCGCATCAAGCATGCAGCTGCTTATCAGTTTACTGCGCATACTTTTAGGGCAAGGGCCCCATTAGCTTATGGGGAATGAGCAGTTGACAGGTACCTACAGGAAGGTGCCCAGGCTCTGGCACATTGCTGAGGCTGCCCTCTGTGCAGAGAGTCACCCTGCCTGGGAAAGCCTGCTGGTCCAGGGCTTGCTGGTCCCGGAGGGACGGATGGTGTGAGGATTGTTCTTGGCCCACCAGCTTGGTTCCGTGGTTCTCCGAGCGCAGTTCCTTGGCACTGGGGCTGATAAGGCTCCACCCCAGCAGCTGCTGCGTTATTTCTGACTCATCCAGGAGTTACCAGTGTGTAACCCAAGCCCCTCCATACCCAGCTTCCTCTCCTCCAGCTCCTCCTGGAGGGAGGAGGCTCTGGACTTCTCTCCTGGGGACTTTCTGTAGAATCAGGTCCCTGCTGCATGTGGACACGGCCGCTGGCCTTCCCAGCAGCCTACAGGAGCCACCCTCTGCCAGGTGGGGTGGGTTCGTGAAGGTTGAGGTAGCACGCCCTGCAGCCCTGGGCCAGCGTCTTTCCATTGAGTCCAGCCCAAGAGCCACAGCCCTGGCCTCTTAAACTTGTCATGGGTGTTTGCTGAGGGAGCTGTCTCAGTGTTTGGGGGTTGGGCACTGATATCATGGTTTCTTGAGCCAAAGGCCCCAACCAGCTGCCTCTGATCCCATCACTTTTTTTGCCCCACGTGGAGGTTGCTTTTTCTGAAAACCTGGGACATTTGGGGCTTCATGCACCATGTGTCCTGTGGCTTGTAGCAGGAGCCTTGCTCTGGGGTGGCTGACAGGTAGAAACAACCAGCAGTCTGGGTCATCTCAGTCTCCCTGGACCCAATAACTCCATTCACAGAGGCAGCAGGCAGGCTCATTCCTGCAGCGCCCGCTGGAGAACATAGCTGCTCAGCCCAGCTGGCTGGGACCGTCGTGGGTGAGGGAGGAACCCAGCACCTCGCCACCTGCCCCATGCTCCCAGAAGGGAGACTGCAAGTGGAAAGGAGCTCCTGGGAGGAGTGAGGGTCACTAGCAGTGTCAGTGTCCCAGTATGTCACATCCTGGTCTCTTCCCCTTCCATCCTGCTACTTGTTCTGCAGGAGTCCCCAGAGCCGGGCAGGGGGATGAACCGTGAGGGAGCTCCCGGGAAGAGTCCGGAGGAGATGTACATTCAGCAGAAGGTCCGAGTGCTGCTCATGCTGCGGAAGATGGGATCAAACGTGAGTGCCTGCGAGGTGTCAGGCAGCAGCCCCCAGGGAGGGGGTCCCAGGGAGGGGCCCTGCTGGGCTGTTGGAGGGTGGAGCCACTGCAGCTGCCTCCTTAGGAGCCATGGACTGAGCAGGGGCCCCCGGGCCTGTGGTTTGGCTCTAGAGCCGCTTCTGTCTCCCAGGCACAGACCCCAGCACGTCGAGTTCTGGGGGCCCTGCTGGGTAGTCTGCCCACCCCTGTGCCAGGTTGGGACCAGGTGTGTGAAGGTCTCAAGGCCCTGATCTTCCTTTTCTCCCCCTTCCAACCCTGAAATTCTTCTCTCCCACGGGGCATCTGAGGGACAGCTTGGCAGGACAGGCGCTGAGGAGGCAGCAGGCATGCGGGTGCAGGGGTATTTCTCAAAAAGAGCAGAGGGACATGGAATCACCCCTCAGTCTTCTGGCCAGGGCCTGTGTCTTCCACTGGCCCTGTACTAGACCAGACCCTAATCTCAGATTCAGTCTGAGTGGCAAGGCCTGTGGGCCTCTGGACCAAGTTTAAGAAGGATAGGAGGGCGGTGCCCTGGCTCTGAAAGCAAAGGGGTCAAATCTCAGGAACAGAGGCCTGGGAAGCAAAGGAGGAAGCACCGCCCAGGGACCAAGCAGGCCTAGGCAGTGCCTCTGGGGTGCAGGTGCTTTATAGGGAACAGGTGCAGGCTGCCTGCCCCTCACCACGGCTCTCTCACCCTGCAGCTGACAGCCAGCGAGGAGGAGTTCCTGCGAACCTATGCGGGGGTGGTCAACAGCCAGCTCAGCCAGCTGCCTCCGCACTCCATCGACCAGGGTGAGTCGGCAGCAGAGGGGCTGGGGCAGTGGCACAAGTCCCAGGGTCACCAACTTATGGTTCCTTTAGAAAGCCCTCCAGCCCTCTTTGATGGGTGATCCATGAGACCCAGGGCCCACTAGGAGGGGCTGCAGCTCCCTCCACCTGCAGAGCTGAGCCAGGGAGCCTCTGGAGCCTCCCACCTGACCCATTTCCTTCCCTAGGTGAGAGCCAAGGACTCTACAAGGCAAATGGCAGGATCCCTTTCTTAGGCCTGGAGGAGGCAGGAAATGGGGGTGTCTGGGGGCCCTTGTAACTGCAGAGACTGATTATTGCATTTCTTTAACCTTTGGCCTGACCTCTACCCACCCAACACCCTGTCCAGGAGAGAGAAGCTGCCCTTGTGTGCTAGGACAATTCCTTCACTGTTGTTCTGGGTACAGACCACATTGTGGCTGGTACAGTCCTGGCTGTGGCTGGAAGGAATGCCCCAAACGCCTGATGTCTCCATGTGCCTGAGGGAGTTGTATCTTTTTTGAGTGACCTCAACCAATCAGCATGGTAACAGGCAGATTTGAGTGTTTGTTGTGTAGCAGGCACTGTGCTTGGCACTTGATAAAGATCACTTCGTGCTATTGTAGGTAGCTACTATTTGTATTAATACTTCCACTTAACAAACAAGGAAACTGGGATTTGGAAGCAGTGAGTTACTTGGTAATGTAGCCAGGTGGTTACTGGGGAGTCCTGGGATGCACACCTGAGGCTGAGGAGCTCTTTGCTGTCTGTCATCTTGCCCATAACCCACATGGCTACTGGCGCTCTACGTCCCTTGGCCGCTTAGCAAGGTTCTCCTTCTCTAGAAGGCTTATCATAACACTGAGGCCCAGTGTTCTGACCAGCATCTCCATAGAGTCCTTTCCTTTTATTCTGTTTTTATTTTTTTTTAATTTTAAAATTTTTCTTTTTTTGCTTACCGATTCACCTGATACACTTAATATTCTGTTTATGCTTTGTTGGAATGATTGGCCATGAAATATTGTAACCTGTGGCATGTCCAGATGCAAGCAGGCTCCCAGAAGCAGAGTGCTGATGGCTGTGTTTGCTGTGTTTGAGGCTGGCATGTGGGGCCTGACCTAGATCACCAGCCAGCCCTTGCTCTCTGGATGTCTCAGGGCTCTGCCCTGGCACAGGGTCTCGTTCCCAAGTGCTGATGCTGGGTGTGACCTGGCTAGTGCACCCAACTCAGCAGAAACCTTTCAGGATGCAGCAGTGGCTCAGGCAGCTCCCTGGGACAGCAGCTCACCATGCACAGCCTGCCTGGGTGTGTCTGCCCAGGTGTGCCTCCTGGATCATGCAGCAGCCTGTTTTGCGTGGCGTCAGCTCCCGCCCTGTCCTGGGATCTCTTGGGTGAGGTCTCTTCTCTTCCAAGGCTAATCTGGGTTTCTAGCATGGCACCCTTTACCCTGACTTCTAACTCATGTCAACCTGAGACCTTCAGGCTGTTGAGTCCCTGGGGACTCCCCTTTCTTCCTACTTAGTCTTGGTCACTGAGTTAACCTGAATTTGAGCTGAGATGGTAAGAAAGCCTCCAGTTGAAGACTCTTGGGAAAAAGTCAAAATAAGAGACATCAAAATGTAGGACCATATGTCAGTATAAAAAGCAGCAACAGGCTGGGCGCGGTGGCTCAAGCCTGTAATCCCAGCACTTTGGGAGGCCGAGGCGGGTGGATCACGAGGTCAAGAGATCGAGACCATCCTGGTCAACATGGTGAAACCCGTCTCTACTAAAAATACAAAAAAGTATCTGGGCATGGTGGCGCGTGCCTGTAATCCGAGCTACTCAGGAGGCTGAGGCAGGAGAACTGCCTGAACCCAAGAGGCGGAGGTTGCAGTGAGCCGAGATCGTGCCATTGCACTCTAGCCTGGGTAACAAGAGCGAAACTCGGTCTCAAAAAAAAAAAAAAAAAAAAAAAAAGCAACATTCCAGGTGTGGTGGCTCACGCCTGTAATTCCAGCACTTTAGGAGGCTGAGGCAGGTGGATCATCTGCGGTCAGGAGTTTGAGATCAGCCTGGCCAACATGATGAAACCCTGTGTCTATTAAAAATACAAAAATTAGCCAGGCACGGTGGTATGCACCTGTAACCCCAGCTACTCGGGAGGCTGAGGCAGGAGAATCACTTGAAACTGGGAGGTGGAAGCTGTAGTGAGCTGAGACTGCACCTCTGCACTCCAGCCTGGGCAACATAGCAAGACTCCATCTCAGAAAAAACAAATCAGAAAACAAAAACCAGCAACAACACATATACACACAAGTTGTATATGTGCATAATCACGCCTGTAATCCCAGCACTTTCATGGCAGGAGGATCACTTGAGCCCAGGAGCTCAAGGCCAGCCTGGGCAACATAGGGAGACCCTGCCTTTACAAAAAATACAAAAATTAGCTGGCAGTGGTGGCACGTATTTGTAATCCTAGCTACTAGGGAGGCTGAGGTGGGAGGATCGCTTGAGCCCAGGAGATCAAGACTGTAGTGAGCCATGATTGCACCATTGCACCCCAGCCTAGGCAACAGAGGGAGACCCTGTATCATAAATTTTAAAAAAGGAAAAAAAAAAAAAAAAGACAAGTTGGTGGAATATATACCAGGCTGTCAAAAAATTTTGTTAGGGCGTGCTGGGCACGGTGGCTCACCCCTGTAATCCCAGCACTTTGGGAGGCCAAGGTGGGCAGATCACCTGAGGCCAGGAATTTGAGACCAGCCTGGCCAACATGGTGAAACCCCATCTCTACTAACAATACAAAAATCAGCCTGGCGTGGTGGTGGGTGCCTGTAGTTCCTGCTACTTGAGAGACTAAGACAGTAGAATTGTTTGAACCTGGGAGGTAGAGGTTTCAGTGAGCCAAGATCGTGCCACTGCACTCTAGCTTGGGAGACAGAGCGAGACTCTATCTCCAAAAAAAAAAAAATTTTGTTAGGGAGTAGGACTATATACGGAACTTTCACTTTCCAAGTCACACATTCTTGTAAAACTAATATTTTAACATTGTACATTCATTTGTTTGTCATAGGGAAAGTTAAAAATATATATTTTTAGGGCCGGGTGCAGTGGCTCACTCCTATAATCCCAGCACTTTGGGAAGCCGAGATGGGTGGATCATGAGGTCAAGAGATTGAGACCATCCTGGTCAACATGGTGAAACCCCGTCTCTACTAAAAATACAAAAATTAGCTGGGCATGGTGGCGCACGCCTGTAGTCCCGGCTACTCAGGAGGCTGAGGCAGAAGAATTGCTTGAACCCAGGAGACGGAGGTTGCAGTGAGCCGAGACCGCCCCGTTGCACTCCAGCCTGGGTAACAAGAGCGAAACTCTGTCTCAAAAAAAAAAAAAAATGTGTATATATGTGTGTGTGTGTGTGTGTGTGTGTGTGTGTGTGTGTGTATAAATATAAGAACTCTTTATTTGCCTAGCTGAACTGACAGTTGAGAATAAAAATGAGCTCTGCCAAGTTGCTGAGGAAGGTCACTGACCCCACTTAGCTGTTGACCTTGCCCTGAAACTGCTGAGCAGTAGGAGCAAGCTACCGGCTGTGACCAACTGTGTAGGCCGTGGAGTCCGGGTCCTCCTTGGTGGGTGGCATCCATGGTTACTTCTTTCTCTGGGGAAGAGGCTCCTGGAGCTGAAGCTGGAGCCAGGGAGGACCCTGGGAGATCATTCGGGAATAGGTGCAGGAGTCATTCCTTGCTGCTGGGGCACCCTATGGACTGCTCCTACCTTCGTAAAGACACCTCTGACCTGACTGCTGAGGCCTGAGCTCTACAGGAGACCTGAGCTGCGGGGAGCTCTGAGAATTCTGTGGACTGGGAGTAGAGAGGGGAAGGGCCAGCCATGTGAGCTTCACAAGCATACTTATTTTCCTTGTGAGCCTAAGGACACCACAAACACACACAACAACAATAACAACAGAACTGCAATCAGCCCAGTCCCCCAGTGAGCTTACTCATGTGAGGGCAGGCCCCTGCATCTCTGCCTGTGCCCTGTGGCCAAATGATCTCTGTTAAAATCTCACCTGCCCACCTTCTCCATTGGCAGAGCCGATCTCAGCTGATGCTGCAGGGTCCTGTTACCAGAGGCTCAGGCACTGCTCAGGTGGTGGAAGCCCTGGATTATTGTCTTCAGGGAACCTGGGGCAGGTGCCGGGACTTCCGTGATCAACCCCAAGGCCTGGAGCTTGCGGGTAATGGCTTGGCGTGCACTTCTTGCACACTAGGTGGTGCTGTCTCTCAGCAAATGCTTCAAGTTGCTTTAAGTGTTCCCTGAGCCAGAGGAGACTCCAGCTCCCCCAGGACTCCCGTAGCAGGGGGTCTGAGGCAGACCCTTCCATGGACAGCACCCGACATTGGTCCTGAGGGTCTGGCTGGGTCTGGTACCTGGGGCACTGCTCTCATCCTGAGGCCCAGAGAGGGGGCCTTGGGCATCCCTTTACTCCCCCAACCCTCCAATTCTTTCCTCGGTCACATTTGTCAAGTATCTGGGGGGCCAGGTAGGTGCAAGAGGCCCTAGGGTGGGGACCTCCCCTTTGAGGCTCACCAGGTGGTTCCAGCAGAAGCCCTAGTAGCCCCCCCTCCACCGCCGACCAGTTTCCAGCCCGCTTGGCCTCTGCTGGGCTGAGACCACCAATGACAGCCTCCTCTCCCTCCCTTGCTCTTCATGTCACCCCTCACTGGCTGTTTCCTATTCCCTGTCCCTCAGTCATGCTGGCATCCTCCAGGATTACCCCCTCTCTTCTCTCTGTCCCACATACACTCCTGTGACTTCAACAGAGAGCACAGTCAGCTGACTGTTGATCAGCATCACCACAGTAGCCCATGCCCAGCCAACCCGCATTTTCTGCCTGTGCTCTACCCTGACCAATGCCCACCAAGTATGTATCGCCCAAGGACTCAGCCTTGACTCCTGTCTTCCCCAGGAACCTAGTCAGTTACCGAGTCTGCCCTGAGGCCCCTCAGACCTGCTTCAT